GCWATGCATTCGCCAACTGTGTTAAACAGGAAATGAATGAAAAAACAGAGCTATGTGTCAATCAAGGCATGCCCAGGGAATACCAAAGCCACCTTATTCTTCTCAGAAACAGGTAGTCCATTTTGGGAATGCCAACCAGGAGACTATAACTTTTAATGAAATCTGATCAGAAATAAGCAGAGGGAGGTCCAAGAAGAACACTTCCCCCATGCTCAGACACGAATGTACAAAATGCATCTGGGAAAATTAAACTATGTGGAACAGCAAGACCTTGACTTTTCAACAAATTTACAGAACTCATAAATGACTTTATGTGTTTACTAGTGAATTGGGACTTATGGCAGGAGGGGGATATATTGCTTTTTATGAAGGGGAAGAAACTGTCATTTTCACTAGTCTCAAATGGAAGAGTTCATATTTTTTTAGCTGCCTGGTTAGTAGTGGGGTGAACAGGTTAGGAAATTCAACCTGATGTCTTACAAACCCCCTTAGTCCCAGTTGGACCTGGTATGAAATGAGAGAAGACCTAAGGATTCGAGAACCAAAAAGGCTAGCCAAAGTATTACTGACTACTGTTTATGAATTACTTTCTTAGAGCCATGCATTATACCTGGTCTTTACCTCTGGTTGCCTCAAGAGAGAAGTGGTGATCTGCAACCATTTTTCTCCACTCTCAAAGTAAATTGTGCTTTTGCCAGTGTAGTCAGTCAGAGTAGTTCTCCAAGACCAGTTTTTTTGTTTGTTTTGTTTTTCAATACTGAGAATTAAACCCAGGGCCTCATGCACGCTAGCCAAGTGCTCTACCACTGAGCTACATTCCCAGTCTCTTTCATTTTATTTTGAGACATGGTCTCCCTATGTTGCCCAGACTGGCCTGGAATTTGTGATCCTCTTGCCTCAGCCTCTTGAGTAGCAAGGATTACTGGTATGTGTCACTATAACTACCTGGAATATTATCCTTAGTTTGTTTTGAAAACAAACTTATTTTCTTTCTCTCTGTTGGCCATGTCAGTGTCTAGTATAGGGAGGTAATGGAAAGAATGTGGAAGTGGAGATGGAAAAGTATATTTAGGTACAGAATACAAATGCAACTTAACAGTATGATAGGCTGTTTGAGAAAAAAAATAATTATCTCCTATTAATTCTGATAGGTTGGCATTCTGATGGGCAGAAGAGTATTGGTGATTGCAGTGGGAAAAATTTTCCTTGAGGGATTAAGAATATTAAATAAATGAACAATAAATAAAACTTTTATGAAATTTTATGTTTGTTTATCATTATCAGTGTAATCACTAATTAGTACTAATTTAATTCTAAGTTTGAAATCACAGGCTTTTTTCAAGAAATATTATAATGTGTTAAGTAAAAAAGAATCTGAAGACATTTTTCATAATAGAGGTCCTTTGTGGGATTGGGAGGTTGGGGAATGAATCTGTTTTAATGAATGTAAAAGAACAATAAACATCTCAATTGCCTGATGTAAATGAAGATAGGTGGTTTTTCTAATTGGAGAGTGTAGATTTCCACTAACAGAAAAACCCAAAAAGAGAAAAGTGTGCATGTTGCTATCTTTTTCTACATTATAATCTTAATATCTATCCTCATATTTATACCCATATTCTTTTCTATTTTCCTATTAGTCTCTTCTTGGTTACAACTTTTGTCCACATTTTTCCCTCTTTAAAATTTATCTTTAAGCCTGTCTGAATCATGGCTAGTTCTCATTTATAAGGACTCTGACTTGGTCWTTTTTTTTTCATTTGAGTTTCATTATATTTAAAATATGATGGGTTTTCTTAATTTTGTGAGGCAGTAACTCCCCTTTTCATACATTATTTCAGGAAATCATGTGTATTTGAAGAGGAATTAGTGCATTTGCGAGCACACATCTCTGGCCTGTGAGCCAGCACTTGTGATGCTTTGCTAGATATTTTTAAGTGGTATGCTGCACTTACTCTAAATGCCTTTGGCAGCTCTGAACTATCAAGACACAGCTGTCTTCACCTGTCCTCTTTCCCATTTCTCTGCCAGTTTTCATCACATTTGGATGAGCTGTATTTGGATCTTAATAGTAAATACTTTCAGTCATCTATCAGAAGCCACCATGGTGCAATGGCAGTTAAATTGCCATTGCTGTCATTTTGTTTCCTCTGTGTCTTCACTCTCTTCCGCATTTCATGGGTTTAAGTGTATACTCTTCTTAAACCCATGCCGCCTTTCAAATCACTACAGTTGATGTGTGGAAACCACTTGCTATTTTCCTTTTTCAGATTCAAGTGCCTTCTGTTCCTCTGATTCCCCAAAGCTGTGTTTTTTAAAAAATTTTCAGCATGGACACCTGTGCCTGCAGGGCCATTTCTACCCCTCTTCTCTTCTCCCTTGCCCCATTTCATGAACTACACTTTTTCAATATCATACTTTCTCTAAGATTTTTCTCAGTGTTACTGGGAAAGTAAATGCTATCTCTTCCCAGTTCCTGTCCAGTGTGATGCTGTATACTCCTATTACAGCAGTTGCTGCCTTAACTTTTAATGCTTAGTACAGTGATTTCTACATAAAGAAATACTTTTGTTTGAATATCAAATAAAATAATATAATAACAGAATTTCAAATAGAAATAGAATTTCAAATTTCACAATAGAATTTCAAATCAGTAAGTCAGAAAGTTTTAAGGAAATAGTTTTTTAAGAAAATGGGGAAAAAATTGAAAATATGGAAACATAAATGAGATGGTAATCAGACTTTCATGGGAAACCATACTTATAACTGGAAAGATAAGGGAAGTTGAGAATTTTTGTTTTAATTTTCACTTGCTTTGTTAAAAGAAGAGCCATCAAGATAAAACACAATGATGAAAAAGACCAAATTAATCAAAATGTAAGCAAAAAATATGAACAGAAAGGCAGTGAGCATGATGTGTTCAAGCATTTTATAATACTAATAACTTGKTCAAATGCTACAATATGTAACTGGCAGGACCAGAATTCTGTCACCAATGGCAGTGCATATCTGAGTAGAGAAATACTTATAATAGAAGGTTGAAAGTAATTGGTTGATTGGAGGGAAAGCAGGAAAATACTGTATGGACCTTGGGAGCACCTGTTGTCTGGGCCACAGATGGTACATGACAAACTTTTAAGTTTACAAGTGGGATTGGCCTGCAATGAAGTGAGTGGGAGAAAGGAGGATAAAAAGACATGAAATGGGAGAAGGTTAATTATGGAGAGTATGTGATTCCATGTGACTGTGTAGAAAGGGCAATGGTAGGAGATGATAGTGGGCTCCCCTTTGGAGCAGATGGACATGGTGAAAGTTGTCTCAGTAAGATCCTTCTGGCAAGAGTTTGAAAGAATGTTTTGGGAGACTTCTGTAGTGACTCAGGAATAATTTTGCCACAATTCAAGAGAGAATAATGAATACTTACTGTAAAATGATTATAGTGAGACATAGAGGAGAGATAATATAAAGGACAAACCCTACTAACTCTTTAGGGTAAAGAAGAGAGTGAGGTTGACGTCAAGGGGAATAATAAAATACAGAGACAAGCAGGAAACATTGAATATTAGGATGCATTGTCATGGGAGATTGAAAGTATCCAGCATTCCATAGGAATTCAGGCTGAAATTTATGAAGCATTCAAGGCAAGAAATAAAATTTTCATGAGAATGTTCAGCCTAAAAATGACATTTAAAGTCACCATATTGAGTCACTTTGATAAAGGAAAGAGAAAAGGGACAAGGCCACAAACTTAGGTGAATGTCCATTTGGGGGAATAGGAGGAGGAGGAGGAGGAAATGTGAGATGGAATAATGAACATGGCAGTGGAAACTGTTACTATATAAATGATTAGGAGAATGAGGACAGATTTGTCAAAAGCCTTTATATTTGGTGGCATTTGTGAGAGAGCGGTTAATAACAAGACACATTGCTAGGACTTAAAAGGTAGGCACTGTAGGAGAAACAGTTTACCTACAAAATGCATAAGAAGACTGTAGGACAGAGAAAAGATGCTAGTGGAAACCAGATCAGACACCCTCAATCTCTGAAAAGTATGAGGCTAGTTGTTTTGTGCAGAGTTGGGTTTACACAATGTAAGGATGAGGCAAATGAAAATTGTTGAACTAAACAAATTTTAAGATGATGAGGAATTAATTAGAGCTCACTTAGTAATTTTCCAAGGCCTGATAAGATGATTTCTCCAGCTGGATTTCTAGGAATTGGAAATTTCTACTTTTTAATTAGATGTTTAGTAAATATATTAGTTTCTTCATAAATTGAGATGTATATGAATTTTATGACTAAAGAAGAAATAGATTAGTTAAATAAATAGTCTGTGTTGTTGTTATCTAAGTTTTGTTCAAAGGAATTGCTTCTTTTTTTGGTATTAAAGTAAATTTAGGCAACGTTTCATCTTCTGGACAATAAGTTGTACAAAGTGAAGGATTATGTTGTATAAGGTCATTGATGCAGGGTTGAGATTTTACATACTACTGTATTTTCTTTATTCAAYTCCACTTGCATGCGCTATATGATAAGGTACAGTATTAGCATATACAATGACGAGTAGTTTATAGCTTAGCATTTAAGCAGTTTTTTTTCAAACATAGTATGAACTGCACTGAGTTCCATGTGTTGATGACTTGCTTTTCTGATGTGTGCAAGTTCATCATCTCTATCACTGTTTATTTTTTTAAGTTAACACAAAAGCAAGGAAGAGAAGATTTCTTTCTTTCTTTTCCTCATTATGATTATTTCTGTATCTTTTTACTTCTCTAGAAATTGTTGAATACTATGTTGTAGTTTTTGCAGTGAATACAGAAGGAAGAGGGAGTAATAGAAATTTTAGAAACATTCCATAAACTTCCCTAGTTCTTTTGTTTAGTGAAACAGTACTTGTCATTCACTTAGGAGTAAAATAAAATCATGCCTAGTGCTGTATGTCACAGTAACTAAAGTTCATCTTGGTATGTTGTTCATAAATATTTTACAATGTTTTTCAGAATCCTCAGTCAGTAGCAGTTCTCCAGGGTCTGGTCCCAGTTCACCCAACAATGGGCCAACTGGAAGTGTTACTGAAAATGAGACTTCGGTTTTGCCCCCTACTCCTCATGCAGAGGTAAGACCCTTTTTCTTTGGTTCTTTTACAAACTGGTTCCCTGATTAGCTTCTTCATACAAAGTGATTTTTTGTAATTTCATATGTTTTAAACCTATAAGAAAAATAAGAGTTGTTTATAAGAGAAATAACAGTTGTTTATTAACTGATATAAATAAATATTATTTATGTTTTATATGGGATGGAGTGAACTTCATCTTATTTATGGAGGAGACACTTTGGGATGTTTGGATAACAAGCAGGGTTTGGGAAGTGCTGAAATACAATCCTCAAATTAAACATTCTTAGTGATCCTGAGTATGTACACAAAAGTGTACATTTTGCTATTTCTGTTTGATTATTGGTTGTTCTGATGGGATTAAACCCATCAGTGAGTAAAAACAAGTTCACACAATCCTCTCAGAAGTACAACTAGCAACTAGGTGAGTTTTATCCAATTGACTTAAAGAGTAGTGAACAATAATTGAAGTACTTATTGTAGTCAAGGGGCACTGAGCTCCACTGAGCCAACACTTATTAAGTACTTATTACATGCCAGTCATTTTACCTGGTGATGGACATATAGAGATAAATCAGTACTCTATCCTTAATGATGACATGTTAAAAGAAATTACTTTAAAATCACATTATTTATTTATTGTAATTAATGATACAAGACAAGAGGAGAGTAAATGTGAGCTGACAAGAATTTTTGTAGTTTAAGTGTTAGACCAAGCAAAGCCAGGAGTCTGAAAGTAGCCTTTCTCATGGAACTCACTGTTTTGAGGTCACCGTCCATTAACTGAAAGTCTTAATTTTTCTGTCATTATAATGCCTCCTTCACTGTGCATTCCTCTGGGCAAGGAAAGGTGGTGTGATCACTCCCTATACATAACTGTGACATATTTCTTGTGTCATATAGAGTCATCGTACTTTGGGTCTGATAGCAACTGTTGAAATCTCACATTCTTAGATTGCACCTATTGCTTTTTTGCCATGTGATTATCCAGCCTCAACCAGAACATGTCTGCCTTTAAAGGAACTTACTCCACTGTCTCCTGACACAAGCCAGTTGATTTTAAACAGTTATCTTGACCATCAGAAATATCTTTCAGACATTATGCCAAGAATCAGTTGTTCTGTAACTTCACATATATCACACATGCACAAATACACACATATGGCTTTGTAATAAACTGTTGTACATTATGAAATTATTAGGCTAAAATATAAGTTCAGGCAGAAACCCAGATGTTGTCCCTGATACGTAGAGGATGGAAGCCAGTGAAATTGCGTTTACTTTAAGGACATTTGTGTGCTTGAGTTTGAGTTTTGGTTTCCTGAGCCTCACAAAGTCAAGAGATAGAAAGCAAAGCCTAATGTTGCCAAGGAGGATAATTTAAGAGGAGACCCCTGTCCCCGCCCTCCTCCAAGCCTGGACCCAGAAGGCCCGKATCTCTGCTACATTGGTGAGTGGCTCACCCCACAGCAGGCTTGGCTCAGGGCAGAGGAGGAGGCAAATACTGAGGGGTTGTAACCACAAGTTTGTCCTTGTATGGTATTATGTCCCCCAAATCACAAAACCTCTAGTTGTTATTTGGTTTACAGTGGCCACATATTTCTAGTTTCCCAGGTGCTTATGAAAGGCAAATGTGAATCCCCCTAGAGGTACAGTCCTTCATTCCAGATCTCAAAAATTTCCCTCAATTTTTCAAGGGCCTTAAGTAGGAAAGGGAGATGTTCTTTCTTGTGGTGATCTTTCAGTTACTTGAAGAATAATAGTCAGACATTTGCATTATCTCTCTAGTTCCTTCATCTATTTCTTGTTTCTTGTCATCTTGTCACCCCTCTTTGTATCTTTTCAAAAACATACTAGGTGGAATAAATATTCCACAAATTTTGTGACCCAGAGACATAAGTGAGATTATTGAACTATTGGGTTGCTTCATGTGTTTATATTATCAATATTAGGTGGTTTTCTGCAATCCTTTAATTTCTAAGAAAATAAAAAAATCAATTACAAATAGTTTTTAAAAAGTATGGTTGCAATTTTAATAATATGGTTCCCAGTAACTGCATAAATACCAAAGGATATAAGTTCTCATGGGTCCCTGTATGGATTTTATGCCCTTGGAAACTGAAAGAGACTCACTCCCACTACATTCAGTAGCATATATGATTCTTATATAACATTCTTGTCAATCTAGTAAGTTTCAGAAGACCACTTAGACTATGATTATATTTTATTAGGATTTAATTCATTAGCAATATAATATCATTTGGGAATATGTAGTAAAAAGTTTATTTTAAAGTGGYAAGAGGGTGATGAGCACAAAATTTAGTGTGATGATTACCTTTCAGAAGGAGAAGAGGAGAGATAYGGTTTAATAGTTACTAAAGAAGCTGATATATATATTTCATCATCATAACTGCATATATATGAGAATATAGTACTTAACAGGACATAAAGAACAGCCAAGAGATACACAGTGATAAGATTGGAAATAGATTTTTATCTTTGCTTCAAACTTTTTATGATCTATTAAATTAAATCTCCAAGAGTGTATGAACTTCATATACACACACATATACACACACACACACACAACACACACACATATACAAATAAAAGAGAATATAAATTCATGGAGTTTGATTATTTATATGGTTTGGTTCTGTTTTATATTCCTAAACCCTTTGCTCTCCCAAATTATCTGTTTAGATGCCTTAGCTTTTCAGTTAATTGTTCAATATATTCTGTCATTACAAACTTTTCCTTCTCCCCCACCATTAAAAAAAAAAAAAGAAAAACAAAACAAAACAGAAGGAAATGTGATTTAATGGAGTTTAAAAGGGTAGAGGTATTTCTTCAGGTCATTGACAGGACATTCACCTCCAAAGCTGGAAAGACTAGTTCAAAAGCAAGCAGTGACTTACCTCATAATGAATTAATTGTGTGCCTGAACTATGATCCAAAAGGCCAGGTGGGCAGACCTTTATGCACTGATGGGTAGCCTCTCTGTGGCCCAGAACAAAAAATGCAACCCTGATGGCTAACATGTGGTTTTCTGCTGCATTACATTTTCAGAGATCTGTAGTGTAATTCATTCTGGATAGACGAGGAAGCAGCAGAATTCAGACCCAGACTGTCAGCAAATTAATATCCTAGCTTTGTAACACTAAATGTTTCCACCTAAACCAGAGAAAGAAAAATATTTTTAGCTATACTTGATTAACCATTATTTAGAATTGCTTATGATTTTTACAGATGTCTTTTAAGATTAATAGAAGAATGATTTCATAGCAACAGAAAATTTGGGGGTACAAATTATTTGCATCATTTTATGCTCATGAATTTAGTTGCATACTTCATCATTTACAGATAGCAGATTTCTTCTGCTATCTTTGCTAAAGCAACAAACGCAAGTTTTATTTTATGGCAGTATTATAGTGTGCATTTGAATGAATTGCCTAGTCCATGACCTGTAAATAGAAAAGCATGCCAACCCATTCATTCAGAGCCCTTGTAAATGAATGGGATTCTACCCCCTTTTGCTGAGTCAGAAATAGAAATGTAAGGTTATATCTAATATTCTTGAGCCCCAGTTGAAACAAATTTTTCCATCTTAGAATTCAGAGGTCCTGCCTAATTTAGATAAAAAGATAGAGCACACCGCGGGGAAATTCAGAGGCTGGGTATGAACCTGACTGCAAAACCAACCACTCATGATGAGTGATCAAGTCACCAAATTTCCACTGATTCTCAGATTCCTGATCTAGTAAAAGGTAGTAATGCCTGAACCAACAACTTGGTTGAAAGGCATCTGTGTTCAGAAGGCAGGTGGTAAATTGTAAAGTTAGGAATAAGTTCATTTTTGTTGTTATTATCAGTGCTGACTCCCGGTAGGGAAAACTCATTAGCTTATTTGTCTTCAAGCCAGCAGCCCTCATGTGAAAGTGAGTCTCCATCTGCTCTGACCGCTTCTGTTCCATTTCTACTATTTCTTACATATGTCAGTCCCAGAACTAAGACTGCTGGAGCTACTTGTTTCACTCATTTGTAAACTTGGTTGGGGAGCTTAAACTTCAGGGGTTTCTATTTCTAACTGCAGTCAGAGATGTCTTTACCTATCTAGTTACTTTATTGTTATTATTGTGGGCCTGCGGGTTCAAATGTGTTTCCATGGATATCAGCATCATTACTTTAGATTTGGTAGATTTATTTGATAGCTATTTTAACAGTAGCCAAGCTGCTGATTTATTTGTAGTTGAACATTAGTGGCTATCTTTGCTCTGCTATTTTTTTAATTTTTTTTCCAGTAGATGAGTAGATGCAAATGATTTTGTAAAAGGATTCTAATAACAAGGTTAAATGTTCTAAAATCATATGAAATGTCACTTGTTTTGCCCCAATCTCACATGACTCATCTGCCTATTGTTTCATAATAGCTGTTGTGACATTTGCTGTAAATGTTATGCTCCCATCTGAGTGGGTGTAGAGCTATGGTTTTAGATGGCAGCAAATAAAACATTTCCCCCTTGGAAAAGAGGTTGCTATGACAAAATAATCATTTACTAGGAATAAGATGAGCCAATATTGTAAAGCAAGATTTTTAACAAAACATAAATGCAAAGCTTAAAACAACTTTGAACTGCAAAGCAAATCCTATAAATGATTTTTTTCTTTTTTTTTTAAATCTCACATACATTCTATAATAGTAATACATTCTTCAGAATCCAGTAAACTTGAGGACTTGGAGATTTTTACTACCTGAATAATTTTCCTTTTATTATAGGAAACTCTTAATTTTTTATCAGTTATCTAAAAGAAGAGTTGAAATAAATACATTCTTGAAAAATAATAGTAAATGCATGGACAAACATTAGATGATTAAGGGAATTTTCATCTAAGCATGGCTTTCTTCTTTTTAGTTGGGCATGATTCAGGAATTTGACACTTTTCAAAGTCAAAGTTGATTGACACTTACGAGCATGTCTTACCTGTGCCATTCTGATAGACACAGCTGGTATCTGATAGAGCTATTCAGAGGTACTTCAGTCTTAGGCTGAAGAATCTGACATCCAGGGAAGGTAGGTGACTGACTAGACAGACTCACAGCCAGTGAGTGGTAGAGTTTAAGTATAAGGCAATAAACCAACTTTTTACTAGTCCAAACTTCTCCCAAAACTCTGGGATCCCCCCCCCCAATTTTCATGAGTATTGTAGATAAGTTTGGACAAACAAGAAACAGAAAATTCTACATTGACTTTTCCTATCTCTTTAAAAATATGTAATTATATAATTATGTAGTATTCCATCAAGAGTCATTGGTTGACTTCTTTTCCCCTTAAGAATAAGAAAGTTGCTCATTTACCTTCCTCACCAAATCTCTTTCCCTCCCCCATTCCTTCCTTCTTTTTTCCCCCATTTCCATTTTCCTTGTGCTACATGCATGTATTCTCCTGCATTTTCATTTACATGAATCCTTACATGCTATGTATTTTTTTGCTTTATACCAATGTGTTTTACTAGATTAAATGGCACAGTGTTATCTATCTCATTTCCTTTCTTTATCACTAACCATGTGTTTATAAACTTGGTTGTATGTGTATGGATGCTTTCAATCACCGAAGAAATCTGGTGGGTGCTGCTCCATTTCATCCATTTCATTCCTCAGGTAACTATGCCGGCAGCCTCCAATTCCCACCCATCACCAAAAAACAAAGCTTCAATATATACCCACGGACATCCGATAGCTTAAAGAGAGAATTTCCTGTAGTTATGATTCCCAGAAGACGAATCACTGGGTCATAGTGCATAGTATAATTGTTTTGGTTTATAATGTAGAATTGTTCACCAGAAATACTGGACTCTTCTACAGTCCCACTAGCACTGTATAAGGGATTTAGCTTTTCTATGTCCCCATGTTTGATATTGCTCATTTTTCTAATTTTTGTCAGATGCTGAGTCTTTCAATTGAAACTGATAGCTTCTTAATTCCAATTACTAAATAAATAGCTTTATTGGGCTTTTTTTCAGTCATTTGTCTACATGTATTTTATTCATCCAAACTGAAATATTATCTTTAAGATATTTTCTCAGCCAGGCACAGTGTGCATGCCTATAATCCCAGTGGCTAGGGAAGCTGAAGCAGAGGATCACAAGTTCAAAGCCACCCTCAGCAAAAATGGAGGGGCTAAGCAACTCAGTGAGAGCTTGTATCTAAATAAAATACAAAATAGGGCTGGGGCTGGGGCTCAGTGGCTGAGTGCCCTGAGCTCCATCCTCGGTATCCCCCCAGACAAAAAGAGAGAGAGAGAGAGAGAGAGAGAGAGAGAGAGAGAGAGAGAGAGAGAGAGAGAGAGATTCTTCCAATTGATATGATAGTGAGAAAAGAGACTGAGTAAAATTTTGAAGGATCTTACTAAAATGTGAGTAGACCCTTTCCCCCAACTCAAACACCAGGCACAGTTCATATCCATCTCAACATCCTGATCCATCTGGTAAAGGCTAATTATCTATTAAAACCTGGTTTTAGATTGACACCCTTCTCTGTGCCATCAAAATTTTTAACATACTGTGTGGAGCTATAGTGGTTATCATGAGTCTTGTGAGTTATTCCTCTGCTTTGCTGTCAACCTGACTAGCTTGTGAGTCTGTGAGGCCTAGGTCCTCTCTATATGCCTAGCACCCAGCACCATCAATGTAATACAAAGGAGTTACTCATTAACTGCTTCATGGGGCTTATGTGATAGCAATCACACATTTAATATTTCTATTTTATTTAACTACAATAAAAGTTTCTAATTCTGAAAAATGTTCACATTGAAACCATCTTTTCCACATTCTAAGCTGTGAAATGTTGGCATCTTAGCAGTATAGCACTAATTAAGGGTTGAATCAGTTTCAGAATTGGTTCCTGGAAAAATCTTGACTTTGCCTGAAAATCCTTGTTAGCTTACTTCCATGCTAAGGTCGGGTGGCCTTTTCATCTTGAAGGAATCCTGGTCAGGATCCTTCATTGTCTCAGTGGAATGGTTTCCCCATAATTTGTGTGCATTCAGGTAGCAGTGTAGAATACCATTCTAGGTTTTATTAAGACTCGTTAACCTGGAACAGATAGATGACTCCCACAAGAAAACTTAGCTGAGGATAGCTGTATTTAAAGAATCCAATTTGAGGAAAATGGTTGTTCAGTTCTATTAAGTATAATTCTGGACACTGAAAGTCTATATAAACTCTTTGCCTGTTTCCTTATCTATTATCAAAGGAGAGAAGCTAAGCAATGTCCAAGTCCCTGAAGTCTGTAGGATACAATGTCATGCCTGTTAGTCTCTTTGGGAAAAGACTCTACCCACAGACCTGGGAACACAGAACTTTCTTTGCATCCTCATGAATTTTCTATATGACTTGAAGATCCTCACATCTGAAAAGCCATAGAGCTTTTTTCTTAAGTTCAAGTGGCTACCACTTGTACTCCATACACCCCTTCATAAGTCATAGGACCTACATTTGTTTTCTCTCCTTTTCTTAAGCAACCATTATTATTAATGTTTTCAGAGTAGTTTGCACTTTCTGCAGCAGCATCTAAGTTTCATTGCCCATCCCATTGGGAAGCACCATTACCTCGCTCATTTTCTTCAGTGTCCTCATCTACAACAGGAGCATCATGGTAACTCGGGAGTACATATGAAGAATAGGTTAACCTCCAAAATATCCCATGGCAGAGGGTTTATTAGCACATGGTGGGCGCTGAAAATCAATGCACCATCACAGGACATGGAACCATTCAATTTGAATGTGAAACTGCAGGAGACTGCAATCCTAGTAGGAATGTCCCAAATCCTTTTACTTTAGTCAAAGCAGTGTGGACATGCAGCATACTCTGCCATCAATATATCTAAGAAAAAATCTCTTTTTCATTTCAGTATGTCTGCTTTTTGTGATGAAAGACATCTCAGAATATCACAAGAATTCTCTCTAGGAAACAAAGATAAGCTCTTTGAGAAAGCTGTGGGAAGGACACTGGGAGGCAAGAAGAAAAAAACAACAGTGTCCTTCCCACAGTCTATTTTAAATCTCAGTGCTGTGAACTTTTTAACAATCTTGAATGAAAATTATATATGAAAGTGCTTATTTTTTCATATTTGTTTTCTGTGGCTACAGATCAGTGAATGGATTATCCTTTTATTTTAAATTACTATTTACTGCCAGTAAGCTAGTTAAAATATTTTACTTCCTTGAACATTCTTTTGGTTCTTATTTAGGTGTATGTTTATAGTAAAATTTATTTTAAAGTTTCTATTTGTATAAGCAAAATCATACCTGGCCTTTTTGTTTAGAGCAAATTCGGAAGAATTGCTGATAGTCACTAAAATAAAATTGTTATCTCACACAATATAATGTAAAAATATTTTCCAATTATCTTCATCCTTTGGCATTTTAGACATTTATAATTTTGTGATATAATAGTATCAGTATAATGTTAATAAATTCAAGATACCTCTTGCTTTTCAAGCACAAATATTTGACATGTTCTTTTGAGAAGAAACAAAATCTGAGTTAGCTGGGAGTTCCAAGTTGCAATGAGAAAACTCCATTTAGCCTTCTGCTCTTATTATGTTAAGGCTAGGACTCATCTCCAAATAGACATATGATTGAGACAATGTTTTGGAATAACATCCTGTGTTTTGGTGGCGCATCACTCTTCAGTGACATTCTGAGCTTGCATTGTATTAGCACGTGATATTTTTCCYCAGTTAATTGATATCCCAGGTTTGTCCAGAGGAAAATCTACAGCTCCCCCAAACATGCTTGACAAGTTATTATATTTACTTTAGTCAAAGCCCGTGTGTGCAGTATCCCTCTTGGAGGTGGTCTATTATTGGAGTCCCATATGCTTTTTGTTTGGGAAGAAAGCAGTCACTGTGTCATACCGTTACATGGAGTATTCTTTTTCAGGGATGTTGTTCCCTTGGGGACCATATCAGGCCAGAGTTCCTTAGTCTAATAAGACCTTTGTAACTCTTATTGTATAAAAGTTCTGGGAGGGAAGCAAGAGTTAAACAGAAAATGTAATTCAAGAAGCCATATTAGGCCACATGTGGGAAAACATGACTAGTATTGGATTAAAAAAGGTATTTGTTGTAAAAAAGCACTGTGATGCCAAAACTGTGTAATGAAAGCTACTGTGGCATGGGGAACACCTAACAATTTAACATTTACTTCTGTTTCTGACTGTGAATGATCTAAAGAAAATCACCACACAGAATTGTCTATTTGTAGATTTTTTATATCAAAAAGATGTGATTATTATAGAAGCCCTATGTGATGGTGTGGACTTTCTTGTGTGTTTCTGGTAGTGTAATGACATTTAATTCTGATGAAGATAATGACTGTGATGGTGTTGTATATGTATATTTTCACTCACTAATACAAAACAATTGCATATGTAAACTCATCGAAATTACCTAATTTGATTGTTGTACTTTACCAAGAGACGGCAAACATGTTTATTATATTCCATAAAACCAGAATTTTTAAAATGAATTTTGYAAAATTAATATATTAATTAATATTATAATTACAAATTAATATTATAATATATAATAATATCAGTATAATGTTAATAATCTCAAGATACTTCTTGCTTTTCAAGCACAAATATCTGACATGTTCTTTTAAGAAGAAATAAAACCTAAGTTTGTTTGTTAACCCCTTTCTTATGATTTTCTATCTGGGATGAAGAAATTCTTTACTTAATTTTTCCATTGTAACCCTCGGATACAGAAATCAAAAAATAAGAACGTAAATATTTTTCTGAATTATGATAATATAAAACCTCTTATGAAGTGTGTCTATTTTGCTATAAAATCCACGATATTGTGATATTATGAGACTTTCCTTTACTTATTTTTTTAACAGCAGCTGGTTTCACAGCAACGCATTCTAATTCATGACGATTCCATGAACCTGCTAAGTCTTTATACCTCTCCTTCTTTGCCCAATATCACCTTGGGACTTCCAGCAGGGCCATCCCAGCTCAAYGTAAGTCATTACACAGTCTTGCCTAAAACAGCCCAAGTCCTATGTTCATATGGGAACTCCCTTTCATTTCTTGTATATTTAGACATGAGAAAACTTTTTAGGGTGAACCTATCCTGTGCTATTTTTTGTTTGCTACACTGTTCAAACGTGCTCAGTTAGTTTGAAATCAGAGAATTATATTGGTTTGCATAATCATATAATAAAACAGCTAACATTTGTATAATGGCTTATAGCTTTTTTWAAAAAAGCATCTCTCCAGATATGTGATTTTATAGCTCCAGATGACCATCCCATGAAACAGGATAGTCCACATTTTTTACAGAAGAGGTAGCTAAGACAAGGAGAGTCTAAAAGTTTGAGATCACAGAGCCACTGAGTGCCAGGCCTGGAACAACACTGGCCAGAGCTGAGAGCTACATCTTCCAAACACAGCAGCATATGTTTATGGAATTTATTTTGTGAATGACTTTATTTTGGGAATTTAAGTTACTGACGCTGTGGTCCTGAAAAATACATATCTGGAAAAACTTTCTAAGAATAACATTAAACTATTCCCAGGAGATCCAAAGGGAATTAGTTTAAAAGTTCTGACAACTGAAATAGGATCTTTTAGAGGTAATTGTCCTRCTAGCAGAAGATAGCAATAATTATTTTATGTGCATTCCCTAAAATAATATAAATTTAGTTTTTCTCAAAGATTTGTAGGCTTTACCCAGAATAATTCATCTCTGAAAGGTTAGTAAATTAAATTGTACATACACAGATGTCCTGTGATATATTAGCTTTAAAGAAAAATTTGTTTCAACCCTTGTCACCAATTTTGCCAGTCTTTAGCAGCAAGTCCAGCATGTCAGATTCACATGTATCATCAATGCATATTATAAAATCAGTCTGAGACATTTAATTTTGTCTGGAATTTTGTTATATCTGGATTTTTAACAGAATATGTTATCTCCCATGATACTAGGATCTTATACCAATTTAGAAAAAGCAAATTTTGGCTGTTGTTTTATTTCTATGGATGAAAGAACAAGGCTTGAAAATCCTGAATTCAGCTATACCCTTGAAATTCCATGTGAAGCATTTGTAAATAATTGGGTCTAGTGAAAAGAAAAATGGAATTAGAAGGAAGTAAATGTTCATGGATAATATTTTCAAATCCTTGCATATTAAAACTTATTTTTCTTCTATTCCTATTTTTCCCATCTCTTCTAATGATAAGTAAACACTAACCCCCAAATTTCTTGTGTCTGACACATGCAGAGGTGTTTTGCCGCCATTGCTGTTTGAATGGTCTAAGCTGCTCCTCCTTGATAATTCACACATGTACCACTTTTATTTATTTATTTATTTATTTTTTATTTTTTTTTAATTTTTTTTTAATTGGTTGTTCAAAACCTTACACAGCTCTTGACATATCATATTTCAGACATTAGTTTCAAGTGAGTTATGAACTCCCATTTTTACCCCAAATACAGATTGCAGAATCACATCAGTTACACATTCACCTTTTTACATGTACCACTTTTAATGTGGTCAGGGGAGATTTTTTTCCCAAAGGACCAAGTACTAAAGCCAGACCATTTAATGTTTCGATGGTAATGCAATTTGGTACCATTGAATGAATAAACCAATGTGGTTTGGATTAAAGTTTCATGTTTTTTTTTTTCTTGCATTTTGGTGTGGATGAGGCAATCACAATTAATTTCTCAAGCTTAACATTGCTCTGGCAAAGGGATCTCTCTAATATTCCATTTCCCCACTGAATTGTGGGAAATTTTAAGGAAAGGAGGCCAGGACCAGGCATCACTTCTAGATTAAACATTGCATTGACGAGCTCTGTGACTCAGACAAACCATTTACCTCTTTGTCCTTTAATTTCTCCCTCACTGAAAATTGCTTTGCTTCCCTGGTGCACAGCAATTTTGAAAGATGAAACATGAGTTTTGAAAAGAAACATGCCACATAATTTTGAGGTATTAGACTTCTGCTTTTGTAATACCAAAATGACCACCATTCATTAAATTCTTTGAATAGGATAATTCATTATTGCTATTGATGATATGATTATTATTGCCTTATTACCGTGTTATCATACATTTCAATTTTTTTATTTGATATCTGATTTCACTTGTAGTTTACTTTATTATACAAGAGTATATGGAGTGTCATTTTTAATATTTATAGATTTGGGATCTGTTATGAATTAATAGAAAATACATGTTTAAATCAAATTCCTGCATATTTTGTACCTCCTTTCATTGAGTTATTTTAAGAATTTCATTTTAAAAATTGAATATTGGAAACTTACAGTTCTGTGAAATTATTAGAGGACATGCAGAGAAAGAGTCAATTGGTATTTTTGCTTGAAACTGCTTTCTCTTTGGACTGCTTTCTTTTTTCCCTATGATATAGTCTTTAACTAGTCGAATAAATTTTATGTTTTCAGCATAGCTCTTATTTAAGCAGCAGATTTTAAAATCTTTCAGAAGTAAACTGTGTACTTATTAAGTCTGAAATTAGTACTTATTTGTCTTTTGACAGAAACATTATATCTGCATATGAGTTACATAAAATTATATATATTCATGATTTACATGATGGTTTTTTTTTGGGGGGGGTACCAGGGATTGAACTCAAGGGCACTCAAGCCACTGAGCCTCATCCCCATCCCTATTTTGTATTTTATTCAGAGAGAGGGTCTCACTGAGTTGCTTAGTGCCTCACTGTTGCTGGGGCTGGCTTTGAACTCCCAATCCTCTTGACTCAGCCTCTCTGGGATCATAAGCATATGCCACTGTGCCTGGCTTACATGGTGTTTTCATGTGTATGTATAATCAAATTTGCTTAATCAAGCTACTTAAGATATATATTACCTTACTTTTTTGTGTTAAAAACACTTATCATCCACACTGCACAATTTTCAAGTATATTTTTATTAATATAACCATAATCACCATGGTGTACAGTAGACCTCTTGAACCTGTTTTTCCCATCTAAAATTCTGTATCTTGCTTTGTTGTTAATATTTTAAAAAAACTTTTGAAGATTCTGTACAGATGCCCAGTTACTAAATACTTTACAGTGCTTCAAACCTATTTTTATTTGTTATTTGTTAATTTGGTTAGTTTAAAGTCATACTGTTACCCCTGTCCCTGACTCAGCCATTGGATATGGTCTTCATTTTTATAGAATAAGAAACTCATCTACTGATGGAGAGACCTGGTGACCCACATGGATGAAAGAGGATTAATATCTTTGTTATTTCTTCACACAGGCTTCGAATTCGCTCAAAGAAAAGCAGAAGTGTGAGACACAGACGCTCAGGCAAGGTGTTCCTYTGCCTGGGCAGTATGGGGGCAGCGTCCCGGCATCTTCAAGCCATCCTCACGTGGCTTTAGAGGGGAAGCCCAACAGCAGCCACCAGGCTCTCCTGCAGCATTTATTATTGAAAGAACAAATGCGGCAACAAAAGCTTCTTGTGACTGGTAATTTAATAATGGCACCATTCACAGGTCATGTCAGGACTTTTATTTCATCGGTGATCCAGTATAATGTCTCAAGGCCCTAATAAAGATTTACTGTGCCATACAAGGATCTCCCTGGCACCTGGTACCACGGGAAAAGCTATGATCCTTTATTTATTCCTCTAGATCTGTCAGGTGTGGGTGGGGAGAGAACTCCCCTCATTTAATCTTGATACATACCAGGCTAGCCTACTTGAGTCACCTGGTCAGACACATTCCTGTTCCACCACCTGGCCTAGACTTCTTCAGAGGCTTGCCTGGCACATGGCTTCTTACCTTTCCCTAAAATTAYAGGTGAATACATCTATATATAGGCATACATAAACGCACATACACTCACTCACACATATAAATAATTGTTTTTCAGGTGGAGTTCCCTTACATCCTCAGTCTCCCTTGGCAACGAAAGAGAGAATTTCACCTGGTATTAGAGGTACCCACAAACTACCCCGTCACAGACCCCTGAATCGAACCCAGTCGGCACCTTTGCCTCAGAGCACATTGGCTCAGCTGGTCATTCAGCAGCAACACCAGCAATTCCTGGAGAAGCAGAAACAATACCAGCAGCAGATCCACATGAACAAAGTAAGCCTGCAAATCAAGCCAGAATATTGTAACCAATATTGTAATATTGGTTTGGAAATTGGGGTTCTRTTACTGATACGGGTATCTAAGAGGAGAATTTTGGAATCAGTTACAGGAGAAAGGAAACTACTGTCTTAGCCCAGTTATATGGGCTCACAAATGTCATCACAATACCAGTGTTGTCACCATTGTTACATTCGTGGGAGATAGGTAGAAAAATCAAGATAATAGATTAGCAAGATATTTTATGATTGAATGCCTGTTGTAATATACAAGCACATCCAGGCACATGTGCATGAAGCCCTTATTTTTGTAAAAAGGACTTGAAGCAGAGTTGCATACATGGATTGACAAGTCAAAAAGTTTGCACAGGTGATGGCAGATAGGCAAGATTGGCCACTAAGGTATTGCTTAGCAAGTTGKATGCATGTAGTTTATGGTTATATTTTAGTATGTCCCACTTCATTCCAAATAGCATTTGAATCAGTTTCTCAGAAACTTATAATAATTTCTTTCTGGTGGCCCTACTGTGGCTGAAATGGACAGTGGATGTCTATGTCCTTCCAAATGCTTAGGAGCTCTCCTGCTGAAGCAACTACAAAAAACAAACAAACAAACAACAACAACAACAACAAAAACAGTGATTACAGTATGATACCTGCCAGAGCAGTAAAGCATGTTCTACAAATTTGTATGCAAAATGATCTTTCCCTCTCTTCTGTGCCATGTCATCTACAAGTATGTTTCAGAGGGATTATGTTGAAAAGTGAGACCCTGTTTACTGGTAGACAATAACTACAACCTGGCTTAGCAAATGCATTGTTGTATTGTGATATAAAAAACAAGCAAAGCAAAACAGTAAACCTTCATGGGAAAAGGTCTCATTATCTTTCTAATGACAATAGGAAAAGAGATTGTGCTGACTCTATTGATAATATTGCTGACGTTTTCTCTTCTTTTGAGCCTCCATCTTACCAAGGGAGCCATGGTGTGGGAACATGGGCTGCAGAGTGTAGAACTGAAAATAAAATTCTTCCAGCCAAGCACTTTGCTGCTTTCAAAGATGGTGTGTGCAATATGTGGGATTAGAGTGTTGGGAGTGGGGATGGCTAGCAAGGCCAACTATCTTTCCACCTTCTTTCACTGTGCTTTGCAGACTCTGTGTCATCAGTTGAATGCTTTTTAAAATTGTGACTGTCTAAATTTGTCAAATAATTTTGTATAAAATCAATCTCCTCCAGAGAGAGCCAGCTTCTTTTCCTGCTTAATGGCGTAATGCCCATCAACTTGAAGATATGTTTGCTCTATTATGGTAGTTAGGTTTGTTATTTGTTTTGTGGTTTCTCAGCACAATGCAAAATTACTAGGTATTGTTGAAAATTGTTGAGTGTCTACTGMAAGAAACTTATGTGGGAGGGAATGTTAGGAATTCTGCTTTTTGCCTTAAAATCCTTTGACCTGGGATTAGGTTTATTTATAAAACTTAGTATTGAAGTGTATGTGTATGTGTGTTTGAGTGATTCTCTTTCCTTCAAATATGTGGATATATATATTCTGCTATAGATAAATTAGGTAAATTGATCCCTTTGAAATCATAGTCTACATTGAATACTTTTAAGAATATACATATATATATTCACACACGCGCATATATATATGTATGTGTGTGTGTGTATGTATGTATGTATGTATATATATATATATTTTAACCTAGAATTATGACAGTTTCAGACTCAGATGGAATGCTCAGATGGTATCTTTCTTTCTTGGTGTCATACTTGAGATTTTGACAGGCGGATGCTAACCCCAGTCACAGGATAAAACTAAGATGAAAAGCAGGCATTTGCATTGTAGCAATGACAAAAGAAAGCCTTATCAGAAAACTTTTCCCATGTGGAGCTGATTCCTTGGAATCTGTTAAGAATTCTTCCTAAAATTAGAAACAAACCTATACTTTAAGGTACTTATTTGTACAGTGGTTTGATTATTAAATCTTGTCTTAATTAGGCAAAATGAAGACCAGAAAACTTCAAAGTACAAAGCTGATCTTTATATGTTAACCCCTCTCAGCTTGGGTGTTTAGATTACTCACACAGGTCTCCAGTTGGCTTTCCTCCAAGTATGTATTCCATATGTTTAATCAAGTGGCATGTGCACATCAGGTACTCTCCAGATTTTGAAAATATTTTACCTGCCCTCGATTGTCTAAGAAAACAAAGAAGAATCTATTAAAGAAAATATTGGACCTGTGTCCTATTTTTAAATATTATCAATAGAACTTTCAAGAAGGGAATTTCCACTCTTCATCTTCCTCCCTGGGATGATGAAGACATTTACTCCACACTGGGTCAGGACTATAACGTAAATGCCAAAAGCTAAGTTTCCATACAGAAATATATTCATGGGTACTCTAACCATTTAGAATACTGATTAGTAAGCAATTACCACAGAATCTTATACACATCATTTCCTCCATTATCATGCTTGAATCTTTATTAAATCCATTAGAACTGGAGTTTAGATAGTTGGCATCATGAAAGTATGGCCATCACTCATGAGATCCTTACCATAGCAAGAAATATAGGCACACATGAACCTGTAGGTATGCACATGACATATTCAAAATGTCTTTTCCTTTTATTCTCTTAACTTCTCTTTGGTTCTTATTTTGAGTACATAGGTAAGCAAGAAATGAAGTTTGAACAAAGAAAAAAATATAAGTAGATTTATATGTAAGCCAGCATCAGATGAATACAGTTGGCCTTTCTGTGTGAAATTTGTAGTGATGTGATTGAGTTGCTAATCAACTTCAGAAGAAWTAGAAGCAAACCTAGAGTTTTAGGAGCATCATTGATAAAATGATGAACATTAAATTTTGAAGAATCTATCATATGTATCTATATAACGAAAATGTTAGTAACCCTAACAGATGATTTAGCTGCCTGTGGTCTTATACTTTCATGATAATTACATGGGATATTTGTGTATTTAAAGATTATTTGACTCATAATTATGGTCTAAGAGTTCAAGAATTTAGCAGAAATATCCCTACAGTTGGTTTATACGGTATTTTTAAAGTTATATTTGCCAGTAAATAATGCAGGATGTTAGAAAGGAGAGTGCTGACTGCAGAGGAAATCATGTCAGAATGATTTATCTCTGCTCATGAGTGTGAATACCTCATTTTCACTCAAAGTGTTTTGAAAAGTTTAATCAGGAAGAAAATTGCGGCTTAAAACATTTCTTCTTTTGTTTTTTTTTTTGAGACATTTTTAAAAATTTACAAATGCATTAAACAATTTCTGTTGCCAATATGTGGTATGTTTATACTGTGATGACTTACATTTTGGTAAGCTTTTTAAAAAAATGAAGTTTCTTTATACTAGTACCAAAAGAAGACTGTTGCTTTTTTTGCCAGTGAATTTTTTCTTTCCTGTTGGAAGAAAAAGCATTTATAAAATAGAATTTTCACCCCAAAATACAAAAGAGCAAACAAACAACAAAAAATAGGATATTAGTAATTTTCTCCTGAGCCCACTTGAAGTTTCAGTATTACCAATTTAACTTTCTGGTAAAATAATAAATACTATGACTGATTAAAACAAAACACACCAAAGTTACTTGGACATATTCATGATTTTAAAAGAGTTTTCTAATCACTGCTTGCAAAACAAAAGGACCATCTCTAGCTACATCAATATCTGGGTATTATGTGCAGCTTTTCCAAACTCTTCAGACATTTTTGTAGAGTGTATTTTAAATTCATTTCTGGCAAACACTACCCACCCCCACCCCCATTTATGACAACATTATTCTTTTAATTTTATTTCTTTGTCATGGTATTAATAGAGTAGCATTAATTTGTATCTCTTTTATCTAGAATTTTCTAATATTTGTTTTTCATATTCCATCAGGTCACATCTATGTGAGCAGAAATTTTAAGTCTTTGTTTTGTACTTATTTGACTGAAATACTCATTTGTGTGTGCAGTCATTCAGCAAAATCTTATTTTGCACAAATTCTGACTTTGTGCAGACACTGTTTCAGGCACTAAGTAAACAACATTCTGGGCCCTCGAGGAGAGAGCAGAGTGCAGGGTGGCCCACTCAAGTAAACAGCACGGCTTGCTTCGTATTGAGATAGACAGTGTGAGGAAGAAATTGACTTCTTTTACAAAATAACATTAGAAATTTATTTAATTGCCTTTCTGGATTATATTGTCCTTATTATATTTTTTTTCTTCTTTCCATTTTTACTTTCTTTTTCCTCCTTTATTTCTAGCTCTGTGATAAATTTCTTACGCATTCCTATGACTGGATATCAGCCAACACTTTTTTAAAAACACTCATAAATCATGAGATGATATCTTATATATGTCAAGGTTCAGTCTAAATATAAGTATTTATTATATATTTATTACTATGATACTTAGGCATTTTGACATGAGTACTATTTTATCATAATAAAAATATATCTAAGACAAGACCGRTAAATGGGAGGCCAAGCAGATGTCCTGGGTTGCCTCTTTTAAAACAGGTAGATGTTGTTTTCTGACAAGCCAAGGCAGAATATGATTATGCTCAATGCTGGATCTGAGTAAATGGGGAGCTTTCATTAGTTTTGTTGTTTTGGGAGAGATTTCAACCCTTTATTCAAGTAGTATATGTTTTATTCCTTTCTTTTAGAATAATTTTAAAGCATCAATGGTAGATTTTCTCCATAACCTCTCATGATTCAAACCCATTCCCCATCTACCACCATTTATCCATGACAGCCCAGGAGAATACATTCTTTCATGCCTGAAGTCACATATAAGCATAGCTTGCTTGTGTATGTTTCCTTGTTAAAATCTCCCCAAAGTCCATTGTAATATAGAATTATTTGGGGAATTATTGGAAAAAGTACATATATTGCCAAGGAAACAAATTCTATAGGTGTATAAAGCCTCAAACATTTACATTTTTTTCAGTAATACGTTATATTCTAAAACAAGAAGTATA